CACTGGCGGACTTTGTGTATGGCTAGTAGGGTCCCCACTTCTTATGCTATATAATCATGACTTTTTTATTTAACGAAAATAAATTAGCCCGATAAAGAGAAAAATATCTGTTATTGTCATGTAAGTTTGGCCTTGGATCCATCGTTGGTTGATACAATTAACATATATTTATTTTAACATATTTGTAATAATAAATAAATAAATAAAAATGTGAGAGTAGGAAGAGGCCTAATTCTTTACTTTTGCCCTGGACCCTAAAAAACTCAGGCCAGTCCTCCAAAACATTCTTCAGTTTTTACAAGTAAGTTTTTCAAAGTTTAAATCCTGATATCTTTTTATTTTTATATTTCTTGTAATTTGAGAATTGTTTGTTGCATAACAAACATTAGAATTCACTAGACAATTTTCTAAGGCCTCGTTTGGTAGGCTGGCCTAGACTGGTTAGGATTGACTTGTAAGTACTACATTGGATTGGCTGGGATTTTAAGTCCAGTGCAGTTCACTTTTGCACCAAACAATGGACTGGATCAGACATTGAATGTAAGAGGGATCTCTGATGCATGTAGAGTTTTTTCTTTTTCAAACTGGAACCAAATGAAATTTTTTAACTTTTTGGCAGAGATTGAAGAAAGAGGCCCAACTTTTTACAAGAAATATGGAACCACCCAATAACAAGAGCTGCCATTGTTGCCGATTGTAGCCTCAGAGTAATAACAATTCCCAGTTTTTGAGACAAGTAAAAAACAAAAAATCTCACAATACCAAACCGAAAAGAGAACCCATGGCATCGAATCCAAACTGAAACTTATATCAAGATCTAACCATTACCCAATCTCATATCAAAATAATAATAAATATCAATTTTTATATAAAAAACAGAAAATTCGATGCAAAAATCACAACAGTACAAACGATGCAAGGTGAGAGAGGAAATGAGAGGAGAGAGGAGAGAGAGAGGATAGAAGAGAGAAGAAGGCAAACCACTAGATAACAGACGATGCGAAGGAGGCGGAGGGAGACAAGGCGCTCAGATTCATTGTAAACCCATGTCTATCGATGGGTTTGGAGTCCCTTGTTATTCTTGATTGGTGTCCAAGAGCCATGTCCAGTCCGTAATACATTTTAAGCTCACCAAACAACAGACTGGACCCATGTCCATTTTAATTGAATATATCCAATCCAGTCCAGCCCACCAAACACGGCCTAAAGGAACAACAACGCTACTACTCTTCACAAAATGATCATGCATTACAAATTTTCAAACGTTCACATTCATCACGATGTCGGCATATATAATATATGGGTGCTTGAAACAGTAAAAATATTTGAACTTCCATAGTCATATTTCCAAATCTGAGTTCCATAACTCCACTCCTACTTGAATGAGGACAACAGAAACACATGAAGCTAGGAGAGAGGGAAAGAGAACGTACACGGGTGGGTGCAGCCTAGTGTTTGGCTAATGGTTAAGCTGACTTGGCATTACTGTTAGGTTGTTAAAACGACTCACGTGTTTAGTTTTAAGTCTGGTAGATTAGTTAGACTGTTTTGATATAAGTGTAACTTTACTGTGTAAAACGATTTATTCAGAAACGATTTATTCATAGAAAATTCAGATTTGGTTTCTCTATTTTCTCTCAAAATTCTCATGAACTTCTCTTCTATTCTATACCTTCAACCTCTGTTAGCATGGTATCAGAGCTCTGCGTGGCTCGTGCCTTTCGATCCCAATCCTTTTCTTGCTTCCGCTGCTCTGTTCTCTCTCTATCTTCTCTTTGATTCTCCTTGTTCTATCCTAGGTTTTCTGTTTTCTAAATTCTTCTCTCGCGGTTTTCCTCTCTGTTTGTTCTCATCAATGGCGATCTCTTCTCTCAAAATTGATGGACTTCTCGGCATGGTGACTTTACGGCTTCGGGAGGATAACTTCTTGAAATGGCGATATCAGATTGAATCTGTTCTCGAAGGTCATGATCTCTTCGGATACTTTGATGGATCTATCGTTCCTCCTCCCAAATTTGCGATCTTGGATGAAGAAGGAGTTATTGCTGAAATTATTGTAGCTTATAAGGATTGGCTCAAAATCGATAAGGCGTTACTCAGTTTTTTGATCACTACACTCTCCGACGATGCTATTGAATATGTCATCGGCAGTAAAACGTCTCGTGACACTTAGCTGAGCCTCACAGATCACTACGGCACAGTTTCTAGGGCTCGGGTCAATCATCTCAAGACTGAGTTCCAAACAATTCAGAAAGGTGGATATTCTATCGAGCAATTTCTTCTTCGTCTAAAACACATCAAGGATCAGTTGGCGCTTGCGGGTGTTTTGATCTCCGATGATGACCTCATGCTCGCCGCTCTTAATGGATTACCGACGGAGTATGCTATGATCAAGACTGTGCTTCTTGCTCGCGAGACCTCGATTTCTTTTAAGGAGTTTCGTACTCATCTTCTCGCTGCAGAACAAGCTGCTGAGACTCAAATTTCATCTCTTCAAACTCCAATGGTTGCTATGATTAGCCATGGTTCTTCTGCTCCTTGCACCTCTCGTGATGGTCTCCTTCCTACTCCTTCTGCTTCGGTTAACACACCTACTGGTTTTCATGTTCACTCTCGACCTTCTGGCTCTTTCAGAAGAGGCAATTTCTCTGGCAATCGATCTTTTACTCGTGACGGATTTTCTGGTAATCGGCCATTTTCTAATGGTTTTTTTGGTCATCGATCTTCCTCTGGTATTGTTCCTGAGTGCCAAATTTGCCAAAAATGTGGCCACACTGCTGTTAACTGTTATCATAGGAATTCATCTCCTTAGAATTCTGCTTCTGCTTCTGTGATTGAGTGCCAGATTTGTGGGAAACGTGGCCATGGAGCTTTGGATTGCTTCCATAGATCCAACTATGTGTATCAAGGCTCATCTCCCCCTGCTTCATTGACTGCCATGGCTGCCCAAGGTTCTTTTTCAAACGATTCTGTGTGGATTGCAGACAGTGGAGCTAGTCATCACATGGTGTCTAATCTCAATCCTCTAGATTCTGCTTCTCCATGCACCACAACAGATCGCGTTACGGTTGGAAATGGAGAAGGTTTTCCTATTGCACATGTTGGCTTTGCCCATGTTTCGTGTGCATCTTCTAATCTACATCTGAAAAATGTCTTTCATGTTCCTAAGCTCACTGCTAATCTTCTCTCCATCCATCAACTTTGTCAAGATAATAATTGCTCCATTATCTTTGATCAATTTGGGTTTTCTATACAGGACAAGGAGACTGCTCAGATTCTACTCCAAGGCCGGAGCAATAAAGGATTGTATCCAATTCCTGGTGTGATACCTCCAAGCATCCAGTCTAAAGGAGTTGCTTATCTTGGTCAACGAATAAAGTCTTCTGTGTGGCATAGTAGGTTAGGTCATCCTACTAATGAAATTGTTCATGCTATGCTTAAGTCTGCCCAATTACCTTTTGTAGTCGATTCTACACGAAATTTATGCCCTTACTGTTTAAGTGGCAAGATGCATTCTTTGTCTTTTCCATCTGCTCATATCAAAGCTTCTAGACCTTTCCAACGTGTTCATAGTGATGTATGGGGCCCTACTCCTTGTAAATCTCCTAATGGATACCATTATGTAGTAAATTTCATTGATGAATACACTGGTTTCACTTGGATGTTTCCTATGTTCAATAAGTCTGAGCTTTTTACAATGTTTACTCGACTTCTTGCCTTTGTGAAGACTCAATTTTCTGGTTCGATTCAATGTCTTCAAAGTGATGGGGGTGGTGAATATGTAAGCAAGCAATTTAAGGAATTTCTTTTATCTCAAGGCATTGTACATCAAGTCTCTTGTCCATATACACCTCAGCAAAATGGTTTAGCTAAGAGAAAGAATAGACATCTCCTTGAAACCTCTCTTACCTTAATGACAGCAGCTTCTCTTCCCCAATGTTTTTGGTTTCATTCAATGGCACATGCAGTGTATCTTATTAATAGGATGCCTAGTGGAGTTTTAGATAATCAATCACCATATTTTCGATTGTTTCATAAGCTTCCAGATATTACATGTCTCAGAATCTTTGGCACGGCTGTCTATCCATGTCTTAGATCTCATACTTTACATAAGTTGCAACCTCACTCTACCTTGTGTGTATTCCTCGACTATATGATGGGATATAAAGGAATTCTCTGTTATAACTTCGAGACTAGAAAGGTTCTTACTTCTCGGAATGTTGTGCATGATGAGAGTTGTTATCCATTTAAAGGGGTCCAAGTTTCCAAGCCTGTTTTGGTCTCACAAAGTTCTTCTTCAGTTCCTGTTGGTCTTTCTCAAGATTTTATTACACCAGCTACTATCTCTAGTCCTTCTTCCCCACCACCTTTGGACAATTTAGTGCATCATTCCACAGAGGTATCTTCTTCTTTTTAGCATGAGTTATTACCAGTGTTGTCAGAGCATCAATTAGACGTGGTGTTACCTCCTGTTACTAGTTCTTCTAGTTCCTCCTCTTCAAGTGTGGATTTATTGTCTTCTTCCTTGGCTACATCAGGCCCTACTTCTTTGCCCTCAGCCAATTCTCATCCCATGACAACTCGATCTAAGAGTGGTATCTGTAAACAGAAAGTTTATTCTGATTATCAGCGTTATAGTACTCATTTGCTTGATGACTTAGAAGAGCCAACAAGTTTCAGAGTTGCTTCTTTTTCTTCCGAATGGAAAAAGGCTATGCAAGAAGAAATTGATGCTCTTCATATGCAAGGTACATGGATATTAGTGCCTCCTCCTTTGCATAAGAATGTAGTAGGCAGTAAGTGGGTTTATAAAATTAAAAGAAACTATGATGGTACTATATCCAGATATAAAGCAAGGTTGGTGGCTCAGGGCTTTAGTCAAGAACTTGGTTTTGATTATTCAGAGACTTTTAGCCCCGTAGTAAGGCATACTACTGTTCGAATTGTGCTCAGTTTGGCTGCAATGCATGGCTGGAAATTAAGGCAATTGGACGTCAAGAATGCGTTTTTTACATGGTGACTTGGATGAGGAAGTGTTTATGAGGCAACCACAGGGTTTTGAAGATCCACAGAAGCCTCAGTTTGTGTGTAAATTGAAAAAATCCTTGTATGGATTAAAGCAAGCACCTAGGGCATGGAACGCTAAGTTCACGGGTTATCTTCCAGCTATTGGTTTCAAAGTGTCTCAGTCTGATCCGAGTTTGTTCATTAAGAATACAGGTTCAGATATCATTGTTTTATTGCTCTACGTAGATGACATTATTTTGACAGGCTCAAATACATCTCTTGTTCAAGAAACTATTGGGAATTTAGCTTCAGTATTTGAACTCAAAGATATGGGATTACTTACTTACTTTCTAGGGCTGCAAATCTCTTATGCATCCACAGGAACTATCTTTGTTAATCAGCATAAGTATGCTAAGGAATTGTTAGCTAAAGCAAGCATGAGTAGTTGCAAGGCATGCTCAACACCTTGCAAACCTCATTCTCAAATTCTGACAACAGATGGTGAACCATTGAAGGATCCAACTTTGTTTCGCAGCTTGGTAGGCGCTTTACAATATTTGACATTCACAAGGCCTGATATTGCCTATGCAGTGAACACTGTGTGCCAATACATGACAAATCCTACAGACTCTCATTTCTATCTTGTGAAAAGAATTTTACGATATATTCAAGGCACACTTCAATATGGCATTACATTTTGTTCTGGTCCAATGCAACTAACAGCTTATAGCGATGCCGATTGGGCTGGAGATCCTTCTACTCGAAGATCAACTACAGGTTTCATAGTGTTTCTTGGTCATAATCCAGTCTCATGGCAATCAAAGAAACAGGGAACAGTTGCTAGGAGTTCTACAGAAGCAGAGTATCGTGCTTTAGCGAATACTGCTGCGGACATTGGCTGGATTCGACAGGTGTTAGCAGATTTACATGAGTTCTTGCCAGAGCCTCCTTTAATGCATTGTGACAATCTTTCTGCCTTGGCTTTAAGTTCAAATCCTGTTTATCATTCAAGGATCAAGCACCTGGACATTGATTTTCATTTTGTAAGGGAGCATGTTCAACGAAAAGATCTTAATGTGCATTACATACCTACTAATGAACAAGTCGCAGATGTATTCACCAAAGGATTACATGGTCCTCTCTTTGCAAGACATTGTAGCAATCTCAGACTAGCTAACCCAGCTGAGATTGAGGGAGGGTGTTTGGCTAATGGTTAAGCTGACCTGGCATTACTGTTAGGTTGTTAAAACGACTCACGTGTTTAGTTTTAAGTCTGATGTAAGCAAGTGCAAAAGTGAAAAACAAACCTAATTAACTAAAATTGTAAGAAAATCAATTACTAACAAATATATTTAGGGATAATAAATCTGATAGTTTATGTGCTCATCAAATACCCCCAAACCTATAATTTGTAGTCCTCGAGCAAACTAAAATGAAAACTAAGCATAAATGAAAACTAACTAAGCCACTTTCGTAGGGATCTCGATTGCATTTAGCGTATGCAATAAGCCTTTAAACCCCTAGGT